CAAAAGCCAGGGAATGGGGCAAGCCGAGGGGCCGAGCGACCGAAAGGCGGCGGGCGTGCGCAGGGCGACCAGCGCAGCCGACGGACGAGCGAAAACAAATAAAAACACACAAAACCAGTGAATTAGGCCAGCCGAGGGGCCGAGCGACCGCGGGGCGGCGGGCGTGCGCAGGGCGACCAGTGCAGCCGACGGACAAGCGCAAACAAACAAAAACAAACAAAACCAGTGAATTGGGCCAGCCGAGGGGCCGAGCGACCGCGGGGCGGCGGGCGAGCCTGAGGCGACCAGCGCAGCCGACGGACAAGCGAAAACCGACAGAAACAAAGAAAGCAAGGGAAAGGGGCCAGCCGAGGGGCCGAGCGACCGAAAGGCGGCGGGCGTGCGCAGGGCGACCAGTGCAGCCGACGGACAAGCGAAAACAAACAAATACAAACAAAACCAGTGAATTGGGCCAGCCGAGCGACCGAGCGGCGGCGGGCGGGCCTGGGGCGACCGGCGCAGCCGACGGACAAGCTAAAACAATCAACAACAAACAAAACCAATGAATGGGGCCAGCCGAGGGGCCGAGCGACCGCGGGGCGGCGGGCGGGCCTGGGGCGACCAGTGCAGCCGACGGACAAGCGAAAACAAACTAAAACAAACAAAACCAGTGAATTGGGACAGCCGAGGGGCCGAGCGCCCGCGGGGCGGGCGGCGGGCGAACCTGGGGCGACCAGCGCAGCCGACGGACAAGCGAAGACAAACACATACAAACAAAACCAGTGAATTGGGCCAGCCGAGGGGCCGAGCGACCGAGCGGCGGCGGGCGGGCCTGGGGCGACCAGCGCAGCCGACGGACAAGCTAAAACAATCAACAACAAACAAAACCAATGAATGGGGCCAGCCGAGGGGCCGAGCGACCGCGGGGCGGCGGGCGGGCCTGGGGCGACCAGTGCAGCCGACGGACAAGCGAAAACAAACTAAAACAAACAAAACCAGTGAATTGGGACAGCCGAGGGGCCGAGCGCCCGCGGGGCGGCGGGCGAACCTGGGGCGACCAGCGCAGCCGGCGGACAAGCGAAAACAAACAAAAACAAACAAAATCAGTGGATTTGGCCAGCCGAGGGGCCGAGCGCCCGCGGGGCGGCGGGCGAACCTGAGGCGACCAGTGCAGCCGACGGACAAGCGAAAACAAACAAAAACAAACGAAACGGTGGAAAGGGGCCAGCCGAGGGGCCGAGCGACCGCGGGGCGGCGGGCGAACCTGGGGCGACCAGTGCAGCCGACGGACAAGCGAAGACGAACAACAACAGAGCATATCAGGGAATTGGGCCAGCCGAGGGGCCGAGCGACCGAACAGCGGCGGGCGAGCCCGGGGCGGCCAGTGCAGCCGACGGACAAGCGAAAACAAACAAAAACAAACAAAACCAATTCATGTGGCCAGCCGAGGGGCCGAGCGCCCGCGGGGCGGCGGGCGAGCCTGAGACGACCAGTGCAGCCGACGGACAAGCGAAAACAAACAGAAACAAAGAAAGCCAGGGAATGGGGCCAGCCGAGGGGCCGAGCGACCGCGGGGTGGCGGGCGAGCCTGGGGCGACCAGTGCAGCCGACAGACAAGCGAAGACAAACAAAGCAAACAAAACCAGGGAATGGGGCCAGCCGAGGGGCCGAGCGACCGCGGGGCGGCGGGCGGGCCTGAGACGACCAGTGCAGCCGACGGACAAGTGAAAACAAACAAATACAAACAAAACAAAGGAATGGGGCCAGCCGAGGGGCCGAGCGACCGCGGGGCGGCGGGCGAGCCTGAGGCGACCAGTGCAGCCGACGGACAGGCGAAAACAAACAAAAACAAACAAAACGGTGGAAACGAGCCAGCCGAGGGGCCGAGCGCCCGCGGGGCGGACGGCGAGCCTGGGGCGACCAGTGCAGCCGACGGACAGGCGAAAACAAACAAATACAAACAAAACGGTGGAAAGGAGCCAGCCGAGGGGCCGAGCGACCGCGGGCGGCGGGCGAGCCTGGGGCGACCAGTGCAGCCGACGGACAAGCGAACACAAACAAAAGCAAACAAAACCAGTGAATTGGGCCAGCCGAGGGGCCGAGCGACCGAAAGGCGGCGGGCGGGCCTGGGGCGACCAGTGCAGCCGACGGACAAGCGAAAACAAACAAAAACAAACAAAACCAACGCATTTGGCCAGCCGAGGGGCCGAGCGACCGAAAGGCTGCCAGTGCGATCGGCGGACAAACGACAAAAAACCAGAACAACCGAAACCAGCCAAGGAATGGGGCCATCCGAGGAGCCCAGCGACCTAGCGCTACTGCGCGCCGCTAAGACAGGGCCCGGACATTTGTAATCTATTTCTTGTAATTGTTGTTGCTGTTGTTTTTTTTGGGCGGCCCCGAATGCAATCTACTTCTTCCGCCTTCCTACTTCATGTTTCTACCTACTTCTTCCGACCGGTGGGTATACATATACACATAAGTATATAAATTTCCGGCGCTGGTGGCCCATTGGCTCGTGTCGGGAAGGCCAAGAGGGGAATCTTGACTAGGGGGGTGGGATATCATGGCGGGGGCCACGATATCTCAGCAGATGTCATGGTATTTCTTCTTGTTTCAATACGTCCCTGGCTCCCCCCACCCCCCTGGGCAGCGCACGTGCCGCTGGCAATGATTTGCGCCCCCCCTCTTGGACGCCGCCCTCTTGACTGCCCCCGATTGTGAACGCTCCGCGAGTAGGCATGGCGTGCAAAAGATCCAGGACCGACGAAAAGTGCTAGCAGCAGCACGGGAACATCAGAACCAAGTGTGTAGGGTTCTAGTAAACTTCTCACGGCCGGTATGGACGCTCGGGGTCTCACAGTCGTTGCTACGCACATCGCCAGCATATTGTTGCGAGCTGGACCACAATATGAAAACACGTTGTTCTCTTCTGCTTGCTCAGGGCATTTTGGCGTTTCGCGCTTCGCGGCCTTGGCCGCAGAGGTGCTCCTCTTCCGGGCGGAAGCGACGTTATCTGCACATCACGCGGCGGGCGGCCACCAACCAGCGCAGTCTCTCTCAGCCCCCTCGACTCCAAGCGGCGAGAGAAGGGGAGCCGGACGAGGGGGCGGCCTTCTGCGAGGGTGGCTACCCCTCCCCAGGGTGCTCCCGAGTGGGGCCTCTGAGAGGCAGGACTCATGCCGGGCCGAGGGAGAAGGCACCCAGCCCTCGTCAACGCCGTAAGCGGGGGGAATAACGACGAGGCCCATCTCGAGAACCACGTACAAGCATGACCAGTGAGCCACGGCGCGCATGACGTAGTGGCACCACGAAGCCAACACAAATAGTAAGTAGTACGGTTGGGCATGCGACCATGAAAACCAAGCCAGTACACCCAAGCCGACCGCCTGACATCACGGTCAGCGCTAAAAGCTCCAACATTGGAAATTACTACAGGCTCATGAATTGTATTACACCTTGGGGACATGAGTACGCGGAGGGGTAACATCACCACGAGGAGATATGTGGCACGATTGCACACAACCCGGAGTCTGTAGGTATGAACGGAAAAGCGTACATAATTTCCCGCGCCACCGCTCAAGCGGACTCTATTCCGCATTTTTCGCAATGGAAAGTTCATAGGCACCACGGCAAACAGCATTCAGGAACAATTGGACGAGCAGCATGCCAAGTCGCCACCGAAGACGAAGAAAGGACACGCATGCCCAACGTAGCAAACCCTGGCGTTCACCGATGATCAACGTATTGAAAAAGAAGCCTAGCACTCGCACTCAAGTGCTCCCTGGCATTATGGTGACAAAATATGTTTCCAGGTTCGGCCCCAGCATGTCTTACGAACGGCTATCAACGTCGGAAATGGTTGCCCTGTTTTTTGTTTGGTGACAGCTGTGTTGCTGTTGCGGTGGCTGTGTCGGTGGTTCTGTTGGTGGATGCGCTAGCGGTTGTGCTGATGGTTGCGTTAGTGGTTGCGTTGATGAGTGCGTTTGTGGTTGCATGTGTTCTTGTGCTTATGGTTGTGGAGGCAGCTTCGCTTGTGGTTGAGGAGGTGGCTGCGTTTGTGTTGCATGGGCGATTGTATTCGTTGTCGTGGTGGGTGTTGTGCAGGGGTTTTGCTGGGGGTTCCGCCGGAGGTTCTGCGGGGGAGGTGTGCTGGAGGGTTGTGTTGGAGGTTGTACGAGTGGTTGTGCTAGCGTTGTGCTGGGGGTTGTGCTGAGTGTCAAGCACACGCAGAGCAGAGCCCGCCGCCGCAAGCCTCAGCACTACCTCCCAGCAGCACATCTGTCAGGCACAATCCTGCGGAACAGCCCCACGCGCAGCTTCATCAGCACAACGACGAGCACAACCACCGCCAGCACGATCCTTAGTTCAAATCGCCAGCACGTCAAACAGTACAACAACCAGCACAACCACCATCACGACATCCACCACGGTCAATAGCACGATCATCAGCACAGCCACCAGCACGACCACCAGCTCGACCACCAGCACGACCATCAGCGCGACCATCGCAGTCGGAGTATTCAGTTCCGCGAGGTTTGATCTCAATGTGTAAGCACACGCATTGGGGCATGATGGAGCAGGCAGCGAGTTCGCTTGACACAAATCTGGCCTGAGCCGAGACGATACTTGAGACGACGACAGCGACGATAACGAGGAGGCGGAGCAAGGACCTCGACCAGAAGGCTGGCGAGGAGACCGACGACGACCACCACCACCACGACAACCACGACGACGACGACGACCGACGTCGCCCAGAGGCCTGGAGGTCTTCGGAGATCCCCGCGGAGGCCCTGGGAGGTCCTGTCTCTGGAGGCCTCCAGCGATGCCGCCCGGGAGGCCCGAGGGGGGCCAGGAGAGCCACGCAGCTCCCCTCGAACCTAACGCGGCGCGTGGCGCATCGCCAGCGACGACGGCGACGGCGACGGCGACGGCGACCGCTGCCGCGCGGCGGCGACGGCGACCACTGCCGCGACGGCGGCGGCCCTCGCCGCGCGAGCACGGCGCGGCCGCGGCGCGAGGCGCTGAAGCCGTGGGCCGCGCCGAGGGCGCCCGCGGCCCCGCAGACCAGCCCGCCAGCGGCGGCGCCGGAGGGCGGCGCGGGCTCCAGGTGGTGCCCGCCGCCGCTCCCGCTCCGGTCGTGGCCCGTTCCTCCCTGCCTGTTGTTCTCCCTCCTCTTTTTCCCGTTTCTTCGCTCCTCCTCTTCCTGCTCTTCCTAGTCCTCCATCCACGTGCCTCCTTTTCCTCCTCCTCCACCTTCCTCCCTCCATGGTCTCCCCCCTCCTCATCATCCCTCCTCCTCCTCGTCCTCCTCCTGCTCCTCCTCCTCGTCCTGCTCCCCACTCGTCCTCATCATCGTCCTCTTTTTCTTTCGTCCTCATCCTCTTTCTCCTGCGCCGCCTCATCCCATCAGTATTACTTATCGTCCCCTTTCAGACGGTGGTCCTGGCCCCCGTCGGCGCCCGCCGTTGCGGCGCCCGCTGCTGCTATCGGTTCGTCGTCCGTAGACTCCCGTCGTCGTCATCGTCGTCGTCGTCGTCCCTGCCTCTAGGTGGTGGAGGAGCCGAAGGATAGAGGATTATTGTCGTACTCGCCTCTCCGAGACAGTAGAGTAGAGGTAAGAGGTAGTAGACGGCGGCTCCAAGAGGCCCCCAGAAGGGCCTCAAGACGGACACAGTTTCGACGCCCAGGCTCCCAACTTAAGACGGCCATGTGACGGACACAGTTTCGTCGCCAATGCTCCAAGGAGCTTCAGGGGATGTGGAAGCCCTTTTTAGGCGAGTCGGTGACGCGAAACGTTCTGAGCGCCAAGGCTCCCAAGAGCGAGCGCTGACGTGAAACAAAGCTCATCGCCAAGGCTCGCAGGAGCGAGCGGTGGCGTAGAAAGTTCTTAGCACTAAGACTCTCAAGAGCTCACGGTGACGTGAAAAGATCTGAACGCCAATGCTTCCAAGGGCGAAGGTTGGCATGAACAAACTTGGATTGCCAACGCTCTCAAGAGCGAACGCTTGCGTGGCAAACTCTTAACACCAAGGCTTACACGAGGGAACGGAGAGGTGAACCAGCTCTTAACTCCAAGGCTCCAAACAGCGAGCGGTGACGTGAACAAGTGTTCAGCGCCAAGGCTCCCAAGAGCAATCGGTTCCGTGAGCCCGTTTGGGCAATTTCTTGAAATGCTTTTTCCGTTTACGTGCCGGCCCAGGGACACCCGGCGGGCCCCACTACGCGTTTGCAACATCATCTCATTTGGCACCCATTGAGACACATTCGAATGGCTACAAGAGTAAACTTCTTATTATTATGGTGCAGCACTTTGTATTTTCTGGTACCAGGTGTGCTTCTCACCATTTCGTCTGATCGCAAGCTGTCGCACCCCCACCTGTGGTCGACTGCACCCCCGCTACTGGACCTCAGTCTGAACACTAGACGGCGTCATTCTAGACTGTCCCGCAAGGGTGCCCATGTGGCCATGCGAGGGACGAAGACGGTGCGCACCCCATCCTCACTCATCATTGCTTGTTGTTTTTCTGATTATTCCACCTCGATGTCCTTACTCTTCCTCGCCCCCCACCTACCCCTCCTTGTCCCTTGTCCTCCACCCCCCCCCCTCCCTACTCCTCCAAGACCCGGATTGCGGCAGGCTGTTTAGTTTCCAACGCGCAAATGGTACGTGCTCGCCTCGCCCGCGACGTTTGTAGGGCCAGTTGGCCAGCACCTACCTGTATGTCTGCACGTGCACGAGAGAACAGGTGCACAAGGCCAGCTATCTTGCGGCGCCTAATGCAATGTTGATTGCCGCCCCCCGCCCGCGCAACGCCCTTTGGTAACTGACCGCGTGGCCTCCCCTCATCCCTAGCCTTCCTCCTGGGGCCTCCTCCTTCGTCCTCCCTCTCCACTCTTGTCTCCCTCATCCTCCTCCCTTGTGTTCACCTGGCCCCTAGTCCCGACGGAGGGCGAGGGGGCTGGGAGAGGAGCAGGAGCAGCAGCAGCAACCTGTGCGGCGGGCCCGCAGGAGACGACGACGGACGCACAACGACGACGACGACGACGAATCACGACAACGGACGGTCGACGACGGACGGTCGACGACGGAAGACGGACAAGGACGACGACCACGACGACCACGACCACAGACGTCGTCTGTGGGCCTCGGCAGTTCACGGAGGCATCTGGAGGCTCCCCGAGGCCTCCAGAGGCCCCTGGAGCCCCGAGAAGCGCGCGAGCGCCCCCAACCAAAGCTCGAGCCTCGACTTCCTCGGCCTGCCGCTCCTCTGCCCGCGAGGTGGTGCGACACCCCGCTGGACGCGCTGTACATTCCGCCCGCGCCGACCAGCCCGCCAGGACCCAGCCCGGGGCTCCTTCGTGGGCGTGGGGAGGGTCGGGCGGGTGGTAAAGGGGGGGGGTCTACATGGGGGGTTGAAGAAAAGGGCCCCATTTGTCGGGTCCCCCAATACCACCGGGGTCTGCCTCCAAACGGTGACAGCCCACTCGCTCGAGGTATCGCGCCTTGGGTGGGAGCCCCCCCCCTCGAGAACCGATCGGTATACTCACGTTGTGCGCGAGGTATCAATTCGGGACGACGGCGTTTGGCAAGAGAGCTGAGCTGCCTCTTGCCACATGCACCCTTTTTCCTACACAAGCACGAGTGAACACTCTGAGAGTAGATCCTGCTGTGTGTGCCCTCCACCCACCCGCCCGCGCCCCGGCCGGCATGCAACATACAGCTTCCAGTAGGTCAGGGCAGCTCGTCCGAAATGCAACGGGGTGGATCACAACATGATTGCAGTCACAGGGTCCTAGCCGCCTTTCTGGATGACGAGTTGCAGCGAGAGCAGCGCCTATCTGTGTCATTAAGCGTGTGCTGAGAAGAGAAGACGGCCTTCGCTGCGGCCGCGAAGGGGGCGGGGAGGGGGAGAAGAAGGCACACCGTCGGATTCCTGCGGGATGTGGCGGTCAAGCGCGGCTGTCGACGCCGTCATGGCCTCCAGCTTCGCTTTCATCAGCCTTTGTCTCACAAAACCAGCCTTCCTCTCCGCCTCGTGGACACGAGCTCTCTGGACCTCAGTGACTCCTGCCTTCCTCTCCGCCTTCCCCGCGAGAGCATCGCAAGGTGAAGAGGAACTTTCTGCTGACAGCACTGGTGCATCCGAGTGCGACGCAACTCAAATAACGGTGACAGGTGACGGGTCCGTGTTCTCCAAGAGCTTTTTTTTTTTTTTCTCTCTCTCTCTCTCTCTCTATATATCCAAACAGGTCCCAGAGAGCCTTCGGGAGATAGGTGCTTAGACTGAGCAGTACATGAGAACGAGTAGACTCTAACGAATAGCTACTTCAAGTTCCCCGAGCTCTCCCCACTGAACAGTCTGAGTATCTTCATTAAAAGGTGCAAACTTCATTTGGCCCCCAGAAATGCTGGACATTGCTAATCGGTACAGCTGCAAGCCCCATCCGCCTACGAGAAGCGTTCTTAGAGTTTGACCCACTACGCGCGTCCCCGAAGCGAAGACAGGAGCGCCCCACTTGCCAGCTGGGCTCGGGGGCCTCCGGACGTCGCTGAGAATTCCCAAGCCTCGACCTGTGCTGGGGAGTTGACCGCCGCCCACGGTTTCGAGATGATGCCCCGGTGCCACAAAAGCATGGAGGAGCATCTCCCTGAGCGAGAGGTTGGCTACCGAGCTGGTCCGTGTCATTGTACATGTCGTGATTGGTATTACGCCGAGTCACCCAGTACCTGTGGCGCAGGGTCGCCGGGAATTCACGACACCTCGGGCAAAGATCGCCCTCCACTGAACAATTTTTTGCCCTTGACAGGGTCCAGGAACTCTGTCGCTGATGCTGGGAAACACCTCGGCCAGTTGCGGCCTTCGATAATGCTTGAAGTTGTGGTGACAAGGCCCGAAACGATTGGCTATGACCGGTCATCTGCGCTACGACGGGGGAGCCCGAAGCTCCCCCGACCCCATCACAGTGCGGCATCAGGAAACCATCGATGCTGTCATGGCGTCGATCAAAATTCCCCAGGCCATCGCACATCACATCAAAGCCATCGTTGACAAGCTCCACAGCAGGATCTTGAAGTACCACAATTTGACGAAGAAGTGTGATCGCACGTGTGAACAGATTGATATCATTTCCAATGGCGGCTGGCCTGTGGACATGAAGGCCTTCAAGTGCCAGGTCGAGGTCCCAGAGCTCGAGGGTCCCATCTCGGGCGATCTTGCCCGCCGGTTTCTTGATCATGAGCAGCCCCACCAGGTCATCACCTACCGCAAGGCCAAAGAGAAGCTGTTCATAGATTACACGCTCACCAACAAACATTGATTTACAGCTGTTAGAAAAAACAATTATCTCTTGTTGGCGCAGACATAGATTTCAACAAGTTCGTAGATGAGGCCACGGCTATTTCCAATTCTCGCGATTCGGCGTTGAAAAACCTACGTTTGCCAGCAGGTGCGCTCCCACCTGGCCTTTTTGCAGAGGAGGCGAGGTTGACGAAGGAGTAGGTGGTCAAAATGTACAAAACCATGCTTCGAATAATTGCGGACGATGATGTGAAGCGGAAGGTCGAGGAGGACAAGCAGGCAGCAATCAATCAGGAGCGCATTTCTGCCCTCATGAAGGCGCCCCCCAATGTCAGGTTTGCGGCAGCAGTCAAGCAAGTTGTGGGAGGGAAGCAGGGCGGTCTCGATTGGGCGGCGTACCAAAGCGGCACTCCGGCAGATTGCTTGCCGTCCTCCAGCAGTGCATCTACATCTAGACGCGTGTTCACCAAGAAGGAACAAGCCCAGCGGAGGAAGGATCGGACGTCTGCTCCGAGACCACAAAACGGCAAGGCCCCAGGGGACGGGAAACGCAGACCCTGGGGCAACCAGCAGCAGTATGTAACAGATTCCCAGTCCACCCCAAAGGGCAAGCCTAAGGGCCAGAAGGGCGACGCCCAGGGGTCCAAGGGAAAGGGCAAGGGCAAGGGCAAGGACAAGGGGAAGGGCAAGGAGACGGGCCATCCAGAACTGAAAGGAGGAGGGAGAGGCGCTCAGCGAGGCGCCGCTCCCAAAAGCAGAGGACGCAATGCGAGGAGTGGAAAATCAACCTGGGGTGCATCAAACTCGTGGACGGCATGCCTACGTGTTGTGGCTTCTGAATGAGGGTTCTCAGTTGCAGCGCATGTACGTGTACAATCATCAGGACCATAGATGCCGCCACCCAGAGCCAGGTGAACTTCCATGGCCAGTAATATTCTTGCTTTCTCGCTTCCATCGCAAACATCGTTTCACGCAGAAGTCTCTGCCAAAGCTTTCAGAGATCAACAACGTCATACAGCAAGTACGGCACAAACTATTGTGGACGTGGCATTTCAGAAATGAACCGGATATGTACCAGTTTCGCGTTGCATTGACATGCCGAGCCACCGAGCCGTTTTCCGAGTCTGTCCTTATAGAGTTTGATGCTATGCTGCGTGCTATGTGCAGCCATGTTCTTCGAGGGTACAGGCACAAACTCCACCAGCAATACGGCCGCACAAAGAGTTCAAAAACGCATGGTGTCAGATCGCTGGCCTTCAAACAGCTCGCTGAATTTGATTGGGTCCCTGCGCTCACGGACAAGGACGGGGGTTCGGCGCTCGTCCGAAAAGGCGTGTTGGAGCAGATCCATATTTCAGCACTCGCGGGCCCGCAGCATGAGGAGACTTCTCCTTTGAACATCCGCTGGTGGCAGCTTTGTGATCCTTATTCTAGCTTAGTCAAGAGAGTTCACGAGCTCGAGCCCGACACAGACGCGCGCTCCATGCTGCAGAGCTTAACGGGTGGAGTTCCCAGGTTTGTGGCATCAGTCGGGGAGACGATCAAATTCCACAAAGATCCAGGTGGCGTATCTTTCCGTATTCTGCACACCAGGAGGGACCATTCGTTTACGGGTCCTGGGGCGCGGGTGGCTCGCCGGCTTCGCGAATCACTTGCAGTCAAACCACGCATTCTGTCAAGCACCGAACATCTCATCAATATATTGAATAACGTCTCTTTCCCCAGTGACGCACTGTTCGTGCGATGCGACGTCAGAGATTTCTTCATGTCTGGAGGTATCAACGAACTCGTGCGAGGTGCTGTCGCTGTTGCACCCCAGGCTGTTGCGATGCGGCAGAGTTCCTTTTGAGCAACCAGTGCGTCAAGTCTGGATTCTACGATGACAGAATTTGGCGGGTGAAGGCTGGTTCTGGGATGGGGGTGAACTTCTCTGGGGATTTGTCGGGCGCGGGATTCTACCACAGCTTGGAGCATTCTAGAGTGACTGATCGGGTCTGAATGTCCAGCAGGGGGATCTTGTTGTACGTAAGGTCCAAGGATGACATCCTGATCATCACTGAGAGGAGCCTCGCGCATTTTCTGGCATGTTCATGATTGGCTTGCGACAAGCAATCGTAGCAGCTTCAAGTGCAAGCTAGAGAAAACCGATGTGCATGGAATAGACATGTTAGGCATACACATTTTCAAGGGCCCTGGTTTTGCCTCCACCGGAAAACGATAGCATACAAACCAATCTGGACAAATACCACATTGGGCATCCCATTGTCTTCCTAGCCGTTTGCAGAGTTGGGGCGTCTCCACCGTCATTCTTCCACCCTCCAGCCAAGCTTGGGGGTGGAGGAGTGTTAATCGAGCGTCTCAGCCAGTATGGATTTCCGAAGTCTTCCATCCAACTCCTGCATGCCTGGCCCCCTAAACGTGCTAGATCCACCGCCTGTCCTGCCCCCACCACCAAAATGTGGGCGCGAGTCCCATGCCGCAGAGTTTGGGCGTCGGCCGGTCTAGCGAAGTTGTTTAATGAGTTTCTATATTTGGACATCCCTAGGAGCATTTGTGTGCAGTATCTAGGTTCTCCTCTGGATATAAGGCCTGCGTGGGTTCTGCGGCGGGCACCTTTTGCTCAGTTGGTCCAGAGATTCTCGCGCAGTCACGTGTCTTTGTTCTAATTTGGAGGTTGGCTGGGCGTGGGCGGTGGTCCTTGCTTACTAACTCGTTTCACGACATGCCTGTAGCAGCATTTGGCTCGGGGTTCTCACCGCGCCCCAGGCCCGCAGGCGGCCGCAGCGGTTTGCGTGCCCATTTGAGTAGTTCTCAGGTGGCGAGCCGGAAAACGCGTTAACAAATCGTGCGTTTTGACGTCGCTGTCATCACATCGCAGCGCTGGGGAGTTGACCGCCGCCCACGGTTTCGAGATGATGCCCAGGCGCCACAAAAGCATGGAGGAGCATCTCCCTGAGCGAGAGCTTGGCTACCGAGCTGGCCCGTGTCATTGTACATGTCGCGATTGTTATTGCGCCGAGCCAACCAGTACCTGCGGCG